TAGTCAAGTTAACCCCTGTTGTCTACAATGACAAATCACAAGAATGCCACTCTCTGCGAAGTTCGTATTTGGAAATGGTGATTATCTCTCCCTTTATACATGGCGTGCCTGAGAGAAATGGTTCCACAGATCAGTTTATTTTTCGCTAAAAGTCTCTCGAGATACTAAAACCAAGTGATAACGTGTCAGAAATTTCGTTATAATCTCTGCTCCCCGATAGAAACTATCTTCGTCCGTGCTGATCACTCTTCATCACCAACTCAAGCAGCTTTGTAAGCTCAAGGAAGTGTGAATGGAGAGCTATTTGGTGTACAATTAGTGTGATTTGATTGCGACGTGCAATCTCAATGTAGACCGCGATTCACATTGAAGTGAATCTTGGTCACTACGATCACTGGGACCGTAACCGAATCAACTCGAAATTGAGTTTCGCCCGCTCGAAAACACTGCACAGCCGCTACGCGTTTCGATATAATTTGATCACACCAGATGGAGACAGCAAGCCTCGAACCCGCGACCATTGGAATGGTAGCCGAAACCTCGACCTCTACCGTTGTGACCCGGTAGCCAAAGGGGTAGAGATCTCGGCTACTATTTCAATGGTCGCGGGTTCGAGGCCTGTTGTCTTCCACTAATGATGTAGAATTATATGGAAACGCGCCGTGGTTGTGCAGTGTTTTCGGATGGGCGACACCCAATTTCCATCTGCTCAAGGAAAGTCTTCTAAAGCAAAGATTGTGCTTTATTGAAGTTTCCATATGCTCCTGTTAAGGCAAAAGTGAACCACCTCAATCACGTTTATGTCCAGACAATTCTGGTAATCAACAGTTGCTGTGTGATTTGGTGAATAATGAAACAACTTAGCAGAGTCACACCTCGAAGCACAATTTCCGAGGTAGGCGTAGAAGAATACAATCGCAACTTCACTGCGTCGGCAGTGACTCCCTCTCTGACTTTTCAGCTGCACTGTTTCAGTGGTCTACGGTCTCACTACCTCCTGTCAACTTTGCATCACTGCACAAGAAGCAAACCCAGATGCACTCAAGCAAGACATGCAAGCAGTGTGCGGATTCCTTGGCTCAGCCGCTGGTCGAGTTATACAAAGTGAGTTTAAAGCAAGGAAAAATCGCGCATGAATGGAGGATTTTTAGCATAACGCCAGTACCGAACAAAGGGACAGGTAAATATCGGCCTATTGTATCCACCTCAGGGTTTCTACGGTTTTTGAGAAGTCCTTCTTGATAAGATGTTGGCCAAGTCCCTATTTTGATGTTCCATTTCAGTTTGTTTGTATAAGTCCAAGATCCACACAGGATATAATGGTTTGTCTACTGCATTCAGTCTTATCGTTACGAGGCAGTAAGAGCAAATCCACAACGCGTCTGCTTCCTCGACCGCAGCAACGCTTTGGGCTATGTTAACCGCAAATCGCTTTTGTAAGGTTTACATATGTTCAGTCTTCCGTAGTCTTCTTGCTAAAGGATTATTTTTCCAAAGATACACAGGTTCACCAGGTTTGGCAACAAAAACGCCAATTATCACAACATCCGGTATCCTTCAACTAGATATTTTGTCACCATTTTGTTATCTACTTACGTTAGCTCTGTACCTATCCCAGAAGAAACCCTACTGTTGAAGTATGCGGATGACGTTACTACCGGCGTGAGCCATCAAGCCTCGACCTCATCAGCCAAGCTGCAAAGTTGGTTAGACAAATTAGTGAAACGATGAAACTCCCGTTACTTGGCGCTGAACCGCGTCCAAGTGTAATGACATTCTTCTTTCACTTAACAAAAGAGATCGTTACCAGGAACTTGTTACGGAATGTCCCAAACTTCACCTTGAAGGTGTAGTTTGAGCTTCTGTGCGTCAATGCAGTGTCTTGGTTACTCTGAGACATCATTTGTCGTAGTCATTCGACTTCCGTTTAACCTCGCTCGATTGCGATCATCGTGCGTCCCCGTGCACTTTGATTCTGAACTTCATCACTGGGTGCATTCTACCGCGTTGGACTTTTATCACTCTCCGGTGATTTTGCCAGGTCTACTGTGTAAGCATTTCAAGCTGCTTGACTGAAGCATTTGTCTCACCAACGGTATTCCAAAGTCAGATTTGGAAAAAGACAACTTTTTATCGACGCATGTTAATTCATGCACTAAACTTGTTTCAATAATAGTCACTGATATTAGTCACCCTCTTCACACTGCATTTTCCAAGTGCAAATCTACCTCGCCGATCAAACCAAGTATAGAGCAATAAATACTCGCACGATAGCTTATGTTTCCTTGGTCATTCCGTATTTAGCCTGATTTCTATTTCACCCAAATGCTACTATTCAAGAACTGCCTGGTAACTTGTCAATGAAATTCGCGGAGCTCAATGGTCTAGCGATCATGGTGATAGCCGCCAAGCACTATGCGCCGAATTTCACATCCAGCTCGGCTATCTCTACTTGATGAGTCCAAACCGGGACGAAACCGTCGGTCCTGGAGTGCAGGGATGGAAGAGAGCCACATAGAGACTGTTTTGCATTGAGGTTTTATCTTTTGCTGTTGTGCTGTCACTAATAAATTGTTTTTTTTTCTTGTCGATAGCATGTGTGTCAAGGCTGAAAATTCGCCCGTCACGGGTGCATAAAAGCACATTTTTCAGTTGACTTGATCACAACTTATGCTCTCGATTCCAATGTCCGAGATTGGTGAGTTGTGGCCAATCGACGTGACGGGGTTGTTCCCGCTAACAAGGCAGGGCACTCAATGTCTGGCCAGGATAACCGAGCACTTCAATCTTTGGATTGAAGCCGCTGCAATTCCGGACCAACGGGTTGGCACAATAACACTTGCCGCGATGAAACACATGAGAGCGAGGGACGAAATTCTGAAAGCTATACTGACAGATCATGGCACGTGCGGTGAAGGTGACGAGTTCCAGACATGTGTAGAGAAACTTGGCAATAAAACAATACGAACCACTTCCTGCCTCCCCCAGACAAACGGATTGACTGCGAGGAATAATGGCGCGATTAAAGAATGACTGGCGGCGAAGGGAGAGATTGAGAAAGAGCTTTAACACTACTCTTGCTAGCTCACCGCGTGTCTAAACAAGGAAGCACTAAGAGATTTCCATTACAGTTAATGTACGGCCACAGACCTCGATTTCCTACGGATCTGGAAGTGGGAATGTGAACGACTTACCCGTTACCACCAAGGGAAGCATGGAGCAACAGAAAGGTAGCAAACTGAAATCTGAGAGCAGCTCAGGAACGGAATAATGGAAAAATCTTGAGTCAAGGTAAGGAAATCGTCCGGTTCAAAGATGAAATATCAAGATCAATGTGCAACCACATGTGACCCAGGAGGGGGGAAACTTATGCTGAAGTGGAAAATACCGTCTGACGTAATCGGTAGACCAGGTCTGCTAGTGAATTGAGGGTGTGTGACAAACAAGGAGAAGAAACTCATGCCTAAATGGAGCAGCCTCGAAGGTCAAAGAGAAACGAGCAAGGTCGAGTGCCACAGAAACTTTGGAGGGGGGCAAGTGTGGTGCATTACTAGCGCGTATTATGTGCGGAAACGAGCAGGCGCAAGAAAATTTGTGAAGTGAAGGATCGCTGCGGACGAAGGGCACGTGGTGCACAAATCAACCTCCATCGATACATTATGAATACAGGAGCGCAGCGGAACGAGGAATCAGAAAGCTACGATGAAGAAGGTACGCAAACGGATCCGAATTTCCATGTTCGAGCCAGTATAATATATATCTGTGGACTCTTTAGCACGCATCTCATTCTTCCCCTTGTTGCGTTATGACCGTATGCCGTGTGTGTTGATCACTTCTAGTGCAGCAGCCACTCGCGTACCGGAAGTGATTCAGATGAGGCCGCAAAACCGTGCGAGCGAAAGAGATGTGACTTACCGTATCATTTACTTAGCGTGTCGTTTTGTAACGAGTTGATTATTGCTTGTAGCGAAGTCTGACTTTCCACGGCTTCAGAAGGCTTCGCTACAACATGCGTCCTCGCAAATGGCCCGTACACCACAGCACTTAAGAAGCTTACTTTCACGGTGGACCTTATAGGCAACCGTGTGACTTGTTTGAGTGAATTGCGCGTTTACTTCGGTAGTTCATGAATTTGCTTGTGTTGGTTACCCAGTCGCGCGTGTCCTATTTCGGTTCGCCGCTGCCAGGATTCTGCATGGAGTCACAGCTCAGTGTTGGTGAGAGGATGGTGCATTTATAACTTAAGTATTCCTCACAAAAGCGCAGAATTTCCCCCCAGTACTTGCAGTCACAGGTGCACATGTTCTTTGTCAGGTCACCTGGCTCTAAGCAGGAGCCATAAGATGTTTATCATAGCGTGAATTGTCACTCTCATCGTCGCGAAGATGCGTGAGACTGACTTCAATCATAAAGCTTGTTAACCTCACAGTCATAATGCTTGACAGAAGGGCACATATCACGTGTGTGGGCAGATACAGGGTCGTTCAGCCACTGTCCGTCTCCGATTGCCTTCAAGAGTAAATTCGGCTCCGGTGCTACGATAAAAACTGATTGATATCCTCCCCCAAAACGCTTACGGTGGCTTCAGGGCCAACTGGACATAAATCACATCTGTTCCGTACTCTCAACTGCTAATTGGAGGAGAACCCAATTAGTATTCACCTGGCTGACGCATGTTATACTAATGTCTTTTCGAGAGTGTTACAATTAACTCACGGCCTGGTCTTTAATTGTCAACTCGTGCCTATGTCCCGGAACCGGCCCTCGTTCTCTATAAATTTATCTTCTAAATATCGTTTACGCACCAGCAGACGCCACGTTCCTTGCTATTTCGGGGTAATACTTATCACAAGTCCTGGGTGTCATCTGTGTCGTTATAGTTATCCGCGCAGAGTTATGAATTTGAGGTTATTTGAGATTCACTACAACACCGAGTGTCTCTGGCAGCCACATAATGACATGTTTGCAACTTATCATATGGCAAATCTGAGACAACGTACCAAGTAGAGGTTATCCAGGATTGGTGACGTTTGACTTCCAAGTGTTATAAACAGTATCACAAGCGGTTGTATGAGATATACTCCGTAGGTAAGGCGAGCTGGAATCCGAAAACCGGACCAGGCCAGCATAGTTTCAATTGGATCTGTGGAAATTGTACAACGAAATAGGGTGGATCATTATTAGATTTGATCAGTGATTCAGCATGAAATGCAAACCTGGTTGATTTTCATCATTATCATCACAGAGTCATGCAAGTTGTATTGAAGTGGTTCCGCGGGAACTTTTCCCATGAATCAGGTTGTGGCAATTGTCGATCCACTCGAGCTGTTTGTTTTCCGGCCAAATTTAGCTAATCTATCCACTCCCATTCCTGACCAACTGTCCATCTGATGCTCAACTATTGTAAACGCGGATTGCTAAGCTAAAGGTAGCGGCTTCCTTATCAGGGATTGTACGAACCATGGTGGCTTTGTGTAAACGCTTCTGAAAACACGATTTATGCTGTGTTCTGTTGCTTTAGCCACGTTATAGTTGACTAACTGAGCTGGATCTAGTGTTTATCTCCAGGACGAGATAACAGGTCTACTCGAGGTGGCTGCGAATGTTGACAGGCTGAGCATGTTTTATGTCGCCATCTCGGTCGCTAGCTCATGGAGACGCATACTCGTTGCGTGACTCCGTTAGTTCTAAAGGTGGGTCCATCCTGCAACCGGATATAGCCCACCTGAAGCCTTGTGCACGCCTAGTACCCATGCTTTCTCAACTCGTGCATCAAATATATGCATGCTACAGGACTATGTGAATTATGGCTTCTGTCCCCATGGTCTTCAGGTTCAGACTAGTAGTATACGTTGTTGACGGTACAATACAATCCACTCATGCTCTCCTGCAGATGCCTCACGGTCCTCGTGGCACGCAGTTCTAGAACGTTTGCTTCCAATCGGCAACCATCGAATTCAGTTGTAGTGGCCGGCTGTATGGATCCTGGTTAACAGCACCCTTCTGGCTTTAAACGCCGCCGTAATGCGAGCCAAAAGACGCTTAATCGTATACTGGATACCACAGAATTTTCGTATCGTGTTACTCTCAGTGCGAATTATAAAAGCTCTGGAATTACTTCGATGCGTCCAAACGGGTGCCAGTATCAGCTGCTACTATGCCAGCCAATTTAAGTGCGATACACGTCACGAAGTGCACACTGGTTCTATGAGACTCTACTTCTTAACGGTTTGCTCTTAACCAATTCCCCGATGCATACATCATAGGTACTAGGTAACGAATACTCTTTGGTCCCGAAACGTTTGTGAAATAGGATGTGCAACAACTACATGTGTTTCAAGGGTCTGCCAACTCTGGAACGCCCCCACATTAGGCATTTTCAAAAAACGATTTAATATAGAAATGAACACCATACACCCTGTTGCATAAACGGGTATGCTAGGTATGTTCACGTGAACTAGCCTCTTTTCATTTATAACCCACAGTGACGCACATAAATCTGTGAAGAGGGGTAAGCAATCTGCTTGTTATTGCAATGAGTGTTAATCGGAACATTGTTTTATTCCGTTTTATATGGTATTATTTCACTCCCATAAATCTAAATCCGTTATCCTATCGCTTCACTGATGAGTGTTTCATTTGATTCATTTATGTAGTATACAAGTTTCACTTTCTTCTACATTCAAACTAGTGTAAGGCGACAGACACCCGTAGCGGAGCTGTACGCCATCGGGCGCGTCCACAGGATCTGGGAATGCCTTCCTTGTGGAAGTAACTGCGAAAAAGTCTCGCCTGCCTTGCAGGCAAGATTAACAAGCAGTTGCGGACAATCAGCAGCAGTGTCTCAGAGCGTATGGAGTTCTGGGTTGGTCATCTGGTTCTCTATCAAATACCACAAAAGCTCATACGGCGCTGTGTCAAAGCCAATGTGACCGGCTATAGGGGCACTGACCACTCACTTCTGTAACCAGAAGTGCGTACTTAAGGGAGGGCAGATGAACAACCTTGTTGGCCACCAGGTTCTCTGTGGACTGCTACTAAACACGCAGAAAGCGAATGGGCTACCCGGATGTCAACGGTCTCCGTTAATCGTCCCGCTGCCTTTCGGGTCAGGTCTTTATGACCAAAGGCTCGGGGTGGAGTCCCTTAACTCAACCCTCTTCCTAGACCTGGACAACCGGGAAGATCTCTGCCCACACAACATATTAACCGTGTAAATCGTCCAAACCTTTCCACTGTCTACCTGTTTCCCCTTTTTGTTGTTGCTGTTAACTATGTTAATTTTTGATGTTTGTGAGTAGGGTAAAGTTTGTAGAAAGTAGAAGTCACGATTAAAATTCACGCACAATAATGTGCCTCGACGGGGAATCGAACCCCGGTCCACGAATTTCCGGTCCGCTGCTCTACCACTGAGCTACCGAGGGCTGACGATTAGGTGCGCAAATTTTAACACATGACTTCCGCTTGGTGCGCGACGTATTGCCAATGGGCTCACAGTACCTGTCCTGGTGTTGCAGATTGGCTCACTCACCCGTCACTTCCCAAGGGGTGAAGTACCTGTCATTTTTACAAAATTTACCCTACTCACAAACATCCAAAATTAATCTACTATCGCCCATCGGACATTCGAAGGACAGGTACTTCAGCCCATTGGGAAGTGACGGGTGAGTGAGCCAAACTGCAACACCAGGACAGGTACTGTGAGCCCATTGGCAATACGTCGCGCACCAAGCAGAAATCATGTGTTAAGTATGTGTTGCAGCACTCCCAAATGTATATTTTCAGGTATTGAATAATATAATAATAAGGCGACAGACAAAAAGTTGTCTCCTTGGACTGGTGGTCGCCATGAACAGGTTCATGCATAGGGATGTTACACATAGGAGAAAACGTTGAGGATGTTTTTGTCTGGTCGCCATAGCAGGTTGGACTGTATTGCCAACATACGGGACATGTTAAGCCTAGTCTTTTTCCCACATGATGAATCATTGTTCTGGAGCACATGCTTTACTACGTCTATTGAAATTATGCTTCAGTGACGCATAAAACTGCTCTCACTAGTTGTCCCCAATAAATTTATTATTTTAGTTGCTATAGTCACATCAGAGGTCTGTTGGTAAATTGATTGCTTTCTTACCTGAACCTGTGGCAGACACCCTTAAATATTGTAATTGCTTAATGTGGGAACCGAATAGTCCTCAACTGGTTCAATATGACTTGTGGTATTAGTACCTAATGATGCCATAGACGCTGATCTCTTGGTCACGGCTGCTATATTTGGTCATCGATAGGTAGGTTCCATTTCAAACAAACTCACCCGCAAATTTGTATCAAGCTTTCAAAAGGTACAATGTATAACGTTCTCTTGTATAAGAGTTTGAACAAGTATTGCTGGGTAAATGGCTGTCAAAATACTCTGGGGAAAGCGGGAACGCTGCTCACTTACGTAGGTAAATGCCCCATTTTTGGATGTATACTTCTCTATCAACCTCTGTGCCATCTTTATGGTATGTGTGAGCTTGAAGTGCCCTTGCTGTATAAGATTTAGCGCCCCCGATTATTCGCTGTTCCGGTCTCTAAAATGGGGATAGTATTATCTGCAAACTCCCACAACCACTATACACAAGCGCTCTGGTCAATACATTTGCTCTATTTTCCGGAGGTTAACATCTTCGAGGATTGAGGATGTGATTATTTCGCTTTCGGACCGTGTTGGTCACTTTGTCTATTAGAAGTACTGTTTCGGCCGCCCTCTTCAGAGGACTAACGTTTGTTCTTATTGCGTAGCATTCGAGGGAGGTGTGCGTCGCTACTTAATCCCAGGAAAATCAGGCAGTCATCCACTAGTTTTTTGTACGTGTAGCCGATATCTATCCGTGTCTAGCTGCAACGAAATGCCCTAAAGTGGCTATCGATGCTCATAGAAAGTGAGTATAACTTAGGCGCTTTCAACCACGAGTACTGCTGAAATTGGGAGTTCAGATGCTATTGGTAGTACTTGTCGTCCATCATGAGGCCTATGGATTACTATCAGAACGGCTTACTCACGACTCACTCAAAGAATATTGCACTAGTAACGCTTCACCAACCCGGAAACTCGATTATTTATACGACGAAACCATTTATATCAATAATATTCTGCAGAAGGATCAAAGCGTTTGGAGAGCATTCAAGTCCGTCATGTGGCGTAGGCAAATACTTTCCATTGGTTAACTCGTTTTTAGCCTACTAATTTCGGTACTCGATCGAACTGAAAAACCTTGCGTTGAGTGGAGAGTTTTGGAGCTGCTCACTACAAGACTGAACCTCGGATCGACATATAAATACAGTATAACCGTAAGTTGGTCACTCAAGTGAATGAACCAAAGTGGTCAACGTACGAAGCTCTGGTTCCGTAAATTGTACTTAGCTGACCTACAAGCAATGAAAAAATAACGGTCAACTTCGAAAAGGTGTCAGGTGGTCAACTTCGGAGATTTTACTGCATGAATCTATTTTCAGTCCACTTGTACCGAACCGGTAGTTTCTCCTCAAAGGTATCAGCAGTTTGCCGGTACGCAGCCTTGACTCTTCGCCGCCGCGCAACCATCACTAGTCGCCTTTAGGCTAAGGATACTGCAAGGGTCACCAGGTCCCCTACGCAGGCTCGAACCCGCGCCGTCGGATTACAAGCCAGACTTGTGGTCCTTAAGGGACCACGGGCATGCAACTGAATTACGTCGGATTTCTTGACTTATAAGTGTGACTGAGTTCGGAGCTCGCGTGTAACGTGATTGTTTCCAAGTGGATGACATACAACACAGGAGATTTAAAGACTAGGCTTCAACTGATGCTATCGGTTAAGATTTCTCAAAACCTTCGTTAAACAGTTTGTGGAACTGTGTCAGATTTGATTGCTGTAGGATATTTCGTTGTTAATACCGAGGGCTGGTTGGTTCCTAAATAAGTCTGTATTGAAAACGGTGACATACACATCTGAATGGGCTTACCCGCGTAACCATTGACGCACAGATAAATAACAATCGCAACTCCCAGTGCAAACACTGGTCGATGCATCGCCGTGTAAAATGCCGCCACTCCAGTGGGCAAATCTGGCTTCAATTCTCGCACCACTCCGTACAGACCGTACAAGGTGCTCAGTGTGAAAACGGCCGCCAGAGACATACCTGTTAGAGTGATGGCCACATTCTTTGCAGAGAGTCTGGGCTGTAATTCAAAGAAGACATAAATGCCTTGTGGTGCCCATATGTTCCAGTTAGAAAACGACATTGGAAGAACCACATGAAATACTTTGGTAAAGTTCATTTATCTTGAGCTGTTTTAAAAGAGAAGTTTACCTTATTCGCTTTGGGCCGAGCAATCAGGATCCAACCGAGGATGAGCCCGATAGCGTATGTTCCCCAACGCGTGTAGGGTTTGATGTAGATAGTGTCAAATGATGACCTATCAATAGAGATGAGTGCATTAGTCAGACAACAGCTGCAAACTAAAGAACCGGAATCACGTAACACATGCACCTTAAGAAAGCGGCAGATGGTGAAAATAATGGAACGGGAGTTGCAGGTATGTATGGAAGCTCCTTAAGAGGCGTTATATGGTTATCAAGGCCGACAAAATATGTATCCGAAAAATCTTCATCTGCAGTATCGACTCAGTGAATTAAACATGGATATAAGACACCAGTAGTGCATTCAGACTTCGCCTCACTGCCTGCTCAGCCACAGCCTATGGTGGCTGGAGGCTGTTGATGTAGCTAATCGTGTCACTTTGTCAAAGCTACTTCGGGTAATGCATGGTGACATTCGGTTGTGAGTGGAATAAAGAATGCCAGTGGATGAAACTTACATGGAAAGTAGTCCCGGGAGATAATCGTGTGCATAAGCGATCCCGAAAGTGGCCAGTATGGAGGAGAGGACTAGCAGAATAGCGAAGATTAGGCCAACAGCTACATTCCTGTAATGCACATGTGAGATATGCTTGTTATAAGCAAGTGCTTTGGAAAATGGTCGAATTTTACGAGATCATGGATTCAGCATTTCCATCGCAAGCTAGGCTTCTGGCTACGTCCTATGATTTGTCATTCATCGCATTCGTAGTCTAGTCAGAGTGAGCGTCCACTTTTGCTCTTTCCTCATCAGTTGAACAACCTAGCGGCGACTCCCTTGCGGGCGTTAGTTTGTGATTTGATGACAATAAGGTTAATAGGGCGGTGGGCATTAAATTCCCTGTTTGTGGTTCATGCTCAACACACTAGGCACCCTCCATTACTAAGGGTCGAAACCGTTGCAATGGTAAGGAACTCACAGACCACTGGAAATTCAGCAGGCTAAATGCCGGAACTGATCTACGGTATTGTGTACGAAATATAGACCTCAAAGTAAGCATATGCTAGGCATTTCAAAATTTTTAACCCATGATCAATCGTGGTCTAAACAGTGCAGTTCGACACGAAGCGGAACAGAGCAGTGCAGCGTCAAACGGAGGAAAAAGCAAAGGAATTCAAATGAGAGTAACTACATTGGCTTTACAGGGAGGCCAGACAGCTGCTTAATCAAGGCTGGTCAGTTCAAAGCGGGGGGGGGGTATGATGCCCAAGTAGCGAATTGAAAACAGGGTAAGAAGCAAGGTGAGTAAGCGTTATTTGTAAAGTTAGCAAGGAGCGATTGTGTGGAATGCAAAACCGAAACATGTGCGCAGTAAATCAAAAAGGTCGGGCTAAGCAGAGGTGAGATAAATGGTGCGAATTGAGGTCTGAAATGATCCCTGGATATAAAGGTTTTAGAGAACATATGCAGTTCCGATCTAGGTAGGGAGTGACTGCGATATGACGCAAGAATGAATCATCCCTTGCTCTATTCAGGTAGCCAGTGTTGTATCCTGACCTATTAATTACCACTTCGCCTGTTTTTGTGCACAGGCGTTCATCTGATCCCCCAGAAGATCAAAATTCACAGCGCTTTCGAACACTATATCGTCTGATTTCCTAAGCCTCTGCTCTTATCTTCGGTACATATCAAAGCTGCAGTGGTCTTCAGCGCGGTGCTTTGCACATTGCGCTTGTGAGAAGGAGAAAATCACGCTACGCTCCTTCTACCTGACGTGAAGGCGGACCGTTAGAGTACTCATGCTTGGTGGCAGACGTTACGTTTTTCCGTCCTTGTAACTGGGGAGAGTCACAGGGGACTTCTGTTACACTAATGTCTCATATCCAATTTCAGATCAAGGTGCATGATACTGGGATGAGTACGCCTCTTCCAACTCGCGGATTTTGCAAGGGTATATGCAGCACGGAAACACACCGGGGCTCTCGTAACAATTGCCCACTCCGCTTACCGAATACTTAGTCTAGTCGAAGCACCGGCGACGGTTTCACGGATGCCAGCCACGTTGGATTCGCTGTCATGACAGCGGCCTCGACCCTCGTTACCTTATGACAACAGCGCTTGGACGATCACTCCAATCGATGTGGTCTTAGCTTCAGTTTTTCTTGAACGTACTGCGGCAGGTTGAAGTAAGGTAGCTGCGGCCGTTTCACTCGCACGCCTGTTTCCAACTGTCCTCCCACAACTCATGAAGTCAGCTGTGGTTAGATAAGCGCATCGCGCTACTCTACTAATTTTTAAGGTATTCATCCTTAGTTTAATTCTTCTAATGACTCTCGAGTTTGATGTAGCAGTGACCTCCTAGCATTTCGGTACTGTATATGGTGGCGATAACTTATGCATTCTATTCCGTTTTTAAATGCGGTATATTATTTTGATCGGAAACACCTCAGCGCCTTTTTCGTTCAACATCACTTGTAAACCTTGAGACACATTTTCCCGCCCAATTGCTATTGCATGAAGTTTAAAACATATTTCAGTTTTATTTCACCGTTGTGTCAGATTCGGTGGAAGTTCATAGATAGAACGCCAGCCCGCTCCAGCGATCCCGAGTAAATCGGCAGCTCGAATCACATTAGCATTCCTACGCTACACACGGGGAGAGGACCGTGACAGATGACAAGTAAAGAACCGTAAAGAGCCCGATTACAATTATCATAGAATGAACAACTACTCGAATCCCGCCTCTTGTAGCTGCGGGACGATGTCAAGAGGCTAACGATACCGTGAAGGCTGTTACTAAGGCGCGTGTGGCCAACAGTACTGCGTGCGCCGCGGTTATTGCATTGCGCGGCGCTGTTGAATGCAGTCTCCGCGCACCGAATGCGTCCAACGCACGCATGTTGGGATGTCTTACTGTTTCGATGAGACCATCCTATGTACGAATACTCAGCTTTTCACAGCTATCATTGAACTTACTTGGTTCGGCGCGAATGGTTCTGGAAAAGTGTGGCTCCCAAATGCTACATGAAGGGCCAAAACATACGAGCAAACTATGGTGAAACGCAAGGCTAAAAGCGAACACCGCTGAAATAGTTGTCTGAATGAAGGCGTCATTAAGCATAAAGATAAGAGTAAAAGCGGACTGCTTACGCAATCGAATTTTCCGTTTTCTACAAGCTAAAAATCCCTCTCTGCTACTTCACCTTTGTCGATTTAGTTCTTTAGCAGTGACCAAAAAGCGGCGCTGTCCTCAAGTTTCAGAAAAAGATACTTCCGTACAGTGGACACCGATGACCCTGTTGACAGGGTCCACAGCACCGGGGATGAACAAATACCATGTTCCGTTAACGTCGCTTTATCGCATCGAAACCAGAATTTGCAAGATCGAAATAACAAAAAAAAGTTTCGATTGTATGCTAGCTGTTGCGATACATTTGCTGATGCTGAGCCATAGATGCTAATGGCCAACTGCCCGGCTTTAGCTATTGGTTGTTTGCAGCCGTAAAGTATGTCGACCTCGTGAAGTCATCTCTTTCTAACAGCCGTTCTACCACCTAGTGAATCCTCACGTTGTGTCTGATGCCTATGACATTTCCAAGTATTATTTGAAAGATTTCTTTAGCGGTTTTGATCTAACAAAGTCCGAGAACACGCGTACAATAATTGTACACATGTGCTACGCGCTACATCTGCATTCGATTGACTTCGTGGTTTCCAGTGAGTTGTCCGTGTAACGCGTTTTCGCCGATTCATTCGGATACCATTGTGATCCACAGCATGTGTCATCCAGTTCGTGTTCCAATGTGATGACTCTATCATGAGCTCCTGGTCAGCAAGAAAACCTCTTTGCTGACGTGACCGCATTGTGAGAAGCACACAGCACTTGGGATTCGATCGTACAGTTTTAACCACACTATCTGGATTGAAAATTCTACTCCGTAAGAACAGTCAATTAGTCCGCTTGGTTTTGAAGCTAAGTAGCCATGGACACAGATGGGGTACTTAGCTATAGTTCAAGCTACCCGAAGCACGTGTACGCTGGAATCGCCTCATCACTATTTCACAGAGCAAGTGATCTGTGCACGGAGGAAAAAGATAAGAAAGCAGCGCAGAGGGACGCGATGAAAAACCTAGTAGCGGAGCGTTGTGAATGAGTTGCCAAAATGCTGACATTTACTCGATCGCGGCCAAGTATGTTAGGGTAGAGATCCTGGAAACGGACACTCGGATGTTATCCGTCGAGTTGCCGTGCGATATGCGTGCAAGAAATGTACCCAATATATTTACCAACTGTCCAGTGTAAGCTCGTTGTTGTATTGTAGGGTGATCTAATTTGGACAGTTGCGATGGGACATAAGGCCGTACCAAACTAACTGCGGAGAGAGTATGAGTTTCGAAATCTACAGGTTGCTCGTTAATTCGGATAGACAGGACAAGTGGTTTCTCTACGGTGATATTGCAATTAAATGCGGTTGTGGTGTCTAACTCCTCGGTGACCTGATTTGTAATTTTAAGGTTAGCCTGTGCAACGGAATTTCCTTTGGCTAGACACACTTTCTGGGTGTGTCCTCTTTTCTCACGAAAGCTGTATATTGAATAAATATTTTGACAAATCAGCCGGGGTTAAATGCTGTTCACCACAGCGTTGTACGGAGTAAGACAGTGTGTCAAGAAGTTTAGCTTGGGACTTAATGTACGATTTGCGAAATTTTTTAATTTGGCGAGGAGAATGCCGTGAAATCCCGAAGGAGATTGGCACGTTGTCGAACTATGTCACAGGTTCTTTTCCAATTCAGAGTCGTTTCGCCTTCTAATGACAGACACTCTCGTGCCTTCTTGTCATGAACACCAACAATCAATGCTGTAAAACATTCCTTCTTCGAGGTTGGCTGGATAGATCTGGTTATAGGCACAGTTAGGAAGGCAGTTAAAATTCTGGGAATAAACTTATTTACAGTTTCATTCTGCTGCTGCCGCATGGTGTTAAATGTGGAACGTGCTGTAAACACATGTAGCTTTTTGTCTCACAGGCGATCAAGAGAGTGGAAAACAGCTTGTAATTTTCGTTTTATATACAGTTGCTATCTATCGAAATGTCGCTGCCCCTCGCTGCCCAAGAGGTGACACAGTAATTTAATTTTCGATGTTTCATCCACCGTACAAGTACCACCCAAGAGAACGAGTAAGTCCACGTAATTAGTAAAGATATTTTTCCACCGCATCCATTGTTGCGTAATAGGCTTTACCGTAGCACAGTCCCAGAACCGCTGACCTAAAGTAATTGAATTCGTCATTCGGGATTGTAACTACCTCCGTCGCCAATTGCTTGCGCCGAGACGAAATCAGCAAATATGGCTGCCTATTAAGACGGTTACTCACGTAAACGGTGAGAACAACTGTGCATCAAAAAGGGAGCGCAAGGCATTCGAATGTTACGTGAGTCACATGGACGCAGAATCAAAACACCAATAACTGTCGCAGACGGCCAATAGCCGGAGTACACACATACGTGTGCACAGTCGCGGTGAGCGCTTGGACAGCCTATCAGAATCCACCATAGCTTTTACGCTGGTGTGATATCTGAAAAATCGCAAGTTCATTAAGAACGAGCAGCATGGCTTTCGTCGA